CCTCGGCATGCTGTGATTACAGTCGTTCGGAGCGCGTATTCTCCCATGTACTGCTGTCCAAGTGCTCTTTGACACAATTGGAGCTTGTCCAGCATGATGTCAAGGACCTCGTGGAGGTTCTTTTCGGGGTTCTCCCTGCGGACTTTGACAAACGATGTCGTCGTCCAGTCCGCGTAGTAATGGCCGTGGTTGACGTCTGTGTCGAAGTGGTTCTTGAGCTTTGTGTAGGCAGTCAAGAACGTATCCATCCGCTGATCGACGAAGTGGAGGTAATACTCCTCTGCGCGGCCGTCGAGAATCCGTGGAAAGACTGCATGGAACTGCCCTGGCTCGATGTCTGCGTGATAACAGATGCTGTAGAAGATTTTCAATTTATCGTCTAGGAGGTCGTACGGCTTTCCCGTATACTTTTTGTCTCGGTCCCACATTTTCACGAAGACATTGATCGTCTTAGGATCTAGTTTCTCATTGCTAAACTCGATTGGTGGAACTGCCTTGTACGGGTCTGTTTCACCAGAGGGCACAATTGGGGGAACGCTCGGTCCCTTCGGACGTTGCGGGTATGCTGGTGTATACTCGCGGAATCGGTCGAAGTTGTTGTAGGTGAGGGGAGGTTGCTGACTTTGGACGCGCTGATAGGCTGGCTGCGGTGCGGATTCAGTTGTCTCTACAGGCTGGCTTCGGATTGGTTGGTTTTGGGCTTTCTCAATCGTTTTTGCCAGCTGGTCCTGAATCTGTTGTTCTTCCTCAACGGTCTCCTGTCGTCCTTGCACACGGGCGTGGGTCTGGTCTTGATCGCGGGTTTGCCGACTGTCTACGTCTCGGCCTCTTGTCCTTACAGGCGTTTGGGTTCGGCTCTGGGCCTGGCTTGATAATCTCCTGTCTGTGGACTGTACTGATCCTTCACTGCGTTGTTGCCGTAGTGCCCGCTCTTGCAACATGTGCGCAGCTGATCGTGTGTCAAACACAGCCGACTGGAATACGTCCTGAGGCCATTCTAGGTACTCCTCCATGCGTAATAACCTAGCTAGAGACTCACTAGGTGCCATATTAATACGGCCAGTATACACTCCCTTAAAGCGGAGGATCCGCTTTAGTTCCTTTGTGTATATTGGCTGGGCACGTAGGAACATTGCCTCTGTCCATCCTTCAAAGTCCTGACGGAACTCCCAAAAGAGTTCTTCATCTGCTGTTGGTCGATCTGTATAGTCCGCAATCGCACGCGCAATGTACGTTGTTGCTGTAGTAATCCCTACCTCATCGTCTGGAGCTTCAAGGTTGTCCTCCCACATCTCTGGATCGATGTGATGCCATTCTCTTGGTTTTATGTTTGTGGTCCCTAGTAGCGCCTCTAGTGTGGGTACCACTCTTCTACTACTGCTCGCCATTCCTACTGCCGGCGTCCTGGCTACCGGTGCTCTTTCCGATGATGTTCTCTCTCCTGCCATTGTGTTCTTGTTGACGCTTGTTGCGCTAGCTGCGTTCGCTAGAGATGCGTCGGTGGTCGTGGGTTGTACACGGGTCAAATCTCAACCGGTCGGTTGGCGCGTGTATAGACGGCGTCTTGGAACGCTTCTGATACGGCTGTAACGGTCGGTCGCTAGCCACGAACGACGCCTGATATAGCTAACAGTGAGCTTAGCATAGATAACTCCGCCTTGCTGATATAGGCAATCTAGGGAACGCGCGGGGTAAAGAATCTATCTCTTCTTAACCTAACTGTCTGTGACTGCCGTGCAATCACTGATCAGTGTTGGAAGGCCTTGTACGATCGTACGGTGAATAACAGTAGCTAAGGTAATCTTGTGTATTGGTATTCTGGTGTATGATGATTCTACGAATGTGGGGGCTACGAAGGTATACATAACGTTGGGTCCGAGTTGGGCCGAAGTAGGATCGAGGCGGTACATTGGGCCTTATTAGGCGACACACCGTGTGTATGCCGACACTACCGAAGTTTCTTAGAAACTCGGTACTGCAAAAACTTTGTAATTCAACACAGTTTTAAATACCTGATCCTGTGAGACCCTAACAGGCCAATTAAGCGATAGCGACTCCTCAGCCTTAAGCGCCTCTAATTAGAGGAAGATTAGGCAGCTAGTCGACTACGCTGTAGCTGATAGAGACTAGAGAAAGATCTCTAAACTTAACCAAACGATCCACCGACTCTCAATTAGATTAGTACTAGCTAAGCATGAGAATGTGAGACTCAAGAAGGCTCTCATCAATGAGAAGAAGCGCAGGAAGCGAGGCAAGGCTCTGCCTCTAGAGGCAGGTGAGGACTATCACGGTAGGGCTGTATTCTGGTCCCCAAGGAAGGTAAAGGAGGCACGTGATCGCCAGCTCCAACAAGGGCTTAAAGAAGAGCAACTACAACACCAGAAAGCTGAAGCAGCTCGCCTACGCCAGGAGAGGAGGCAGGAAAAGCTCCAGGCAGCTCAACAGAGGCGTGCAGCAAGACTAGAAGCTCAAATAACAAGGCAGGAGAAGAAGGCTCGTGAGGCTGCTGATCGAGCCTCACGACAGGCAGCTCGCAAGGCTCAACAACAACTCCGGCAAGCTCAAAAAACTGCCCAAAGAGGCAAGAGGAGGTGCCTCAAGATAGCTACTAAGGCAGGTTCAAAAAAGAGAGCAGCTGCGCAGCCTCAGGGTAGTAGTGAGGCTGCAGGTACTGCAGCAGGCCCACCACCATCTCAATCACGACACGGCCGAGCAATCAAGTTCCCAGCAAAATATAGATAGCTATATATATTAATTAAGGCCTATAGAACTCAACTCTAAAAAAATATCGCGATTATAGCTATCGCACGTGGCTCAATAGCTTCATGTTGTGCTGTCGATTTTGGTGTTCGGGTGGATGGTCACGCCGGGTGGATGGTTACGCCGGGCGCCTCGGTAGTATAACGTGCCCGTGCGCGAGACGCCCGGATTCGCGAGACGCCCCGCCGAACACCATCTCTGATGAAGGTGGAGAAAACGTGCGTGAACTTGTTGTATTGGAGCTACGGGAGAAGGGAGAATATCTATGGTGCGCGCATGGAGCAGCTGACTAATCAGTGCCTGGCCAATCAGAGCACGGGAAGCCTGATTCACCGTGAATACTAGTGAAGGCTCTCACCGCGTCTCGACACCCTTCGGGTCCGTTCATTCCCACTTGCTCCACCACATTACGTTGTGGCATAATAGGATAATTGAAGTTTTGGTGGGGTCTTGGCAGAGTGACCAGCTCACCCGTCTGAACAGCTCACCCGTCTCCGACGTTATTTGAGAACGCTTGGGGCAATCTAAGAGTCCGGAAGAGAAAGTGTCCTGTTACACCGTGCGTCCCGGCACGCTTGGATCGACGTTACGCCGGCCAGCTCGGTGGTGCTAACGGCAAGTCGGCTTTATAGGAACGCCGACTTTGGATACGTCGGCATACGTCGGCCCATAATTAAAGCCTTGTTCTTTGCTAGAGTTGAAAACAAGTGGAGACGTTGCGCGGCTTCCGTGCGGGAAGAGAATCAGCGGACGAAAAGTAAAGGAACGGAATTCTGACTAGCCCGTATAAATAAAGGTTTTACTAGATTTACACTGTTCTGCACAGAGCTCTTTAGAGCGCTATCTCTGCTTCTTTCTACTTTTTCCTGGCCACTGCTATTAAGAACCAAAATGTCGAACAGTCAGCTATACACAGGTGCTCTAGTTTTACTTGTCATCTATCTAGTGATTAGTCCTATCATTAGAGCGTTGATGACACCGCTTCGCAGCGTGCCTGGTCCGTTTCTCGCACGTTTCACGCGTCTCTGGGAATTACGTGCGGTGCGTAAACACGATTTTGCAACCTATAATATAGCCCTACATGAGGAATACGGTATGTTTTGTGCCTAAGTCTTAAATTGATATTTACTTACGTGTGTAGGACCTGTTGTTAGACTTGCGCCGAATCGATACAGCGTCAACGACACTGGAGCTTCTAGGGTCCTTCTAGGCTATCACAACGCCCTAGACAAGTCGAATTACTACACTCCATTTGGAGATCCGTCCCAGGGCAATTTGTTTAGCGAAGTTAATGTTCAGATCCATGCCAACATTAGACGCCCAATCAGTCAATTGTATTCAAACAACAATTTGCTCTCGTATGAGCCGTTCGTAAACGCATGCAACAGTATTTTACTTAGAAGACTAAAAGAATACTCGGGCAGTGGAAAACAACTTAATGTACGACATTTAATGCAATACTATGCATTTGATGTGATTGGAGAGATCACCTTAGGTTCGAGGTTTGGATTTATGGAAGAAGATGGCGACAAGGCAGGTCTCATTACTGCTATTGACGAAGGGCTCGATTACGGCGCCAAAGTTGGGCTTATTCCTGAGGTGCACTGGGCCTTATGCAAGGCGGCCGAATATCTGGGTATAAAGTCGCCCTTCATGAAGGTCATGGATTTCATCCTTTTACAGATTCAGAACCGTGTCTCGGGGCAGACTATATCTCCAAAAGATCGCCAGGACTTCCTTGACAAGCTGCTGCCGCTTGAAAAAAATGGCAAAGCTACTCGACTCGACACAATAAACGCTTGCGGAAGCAATATTGGAGCAGGCTCAGATACGACGGCCATCTCGTTGACCGCCACCATCGCCTACCTATCCATGCATCCAGACGTACTCGCTAAGTTACGGGAAGAACTCGACGATGCTGTAAACAGAGGCGCAGCATCGGACCCAATTACGTTCAAGGAGTCTCAAAAGCTACCCTATCTTCGTGCAGTAATTCAGGAAACACTTCGCATGCATCCTGCGGTTGGCGCACCCTTGACACGTATTATCGGCATCGGCGGTGCAAATCTTGCAGGGCGTTATTTTCCTGCTGGTACTGAAGTCGGCGTCAACCCATGGGTTATCCATAACAATAAAGAGATTTTTGGTCCAGATGCTTCTAAATTCAGACCGGAGCGTTGGTTAGTGCAGGACGCTGAGAAGCGTGCAGTGATGGACCGGAACTTCCTTACATTTGGTGCTGGATCGCGGACATGTATTGGTAAGAACATCAGCTTGTTAGAGATGTACAAAGTCATCCCGCAGATCGTAAAAAAGTTTGATTTTCAAGTGGTGGCAGATAGTAAGCATGGAGAGGGATACATGTGGAAGACATTATTCTTCGCGAAGCAGACTTTATACTGTATTGTCAAAGAAAGAGCGTGTGTATAGGTATTAGAGGCTAGCAACATAGATGTTGAGAAGAAAAATTACGAGTTTCTAGACCTAACGAGGATGTGCGCGTAATGCTCACCCCAACACCCCAACTGTCACGGCACCAACTCGGCGCTCTGTAGGTCACGTGCCCCCATCCCTATCTGTGGGGGATTGTGAGTGCTGGAAGAATTGAAGGATTGAACTGAGGTGGTATTGTGTATGTATGTATGTATGTATTGTTTAACGTCCTATGAAAGCCTCCCAGGGGGCATGAAAGACGGGTAGCGCCCTGTATGGTACTCAGGTGCTCCTATTCTTTGGGTGTTGGCAGTGTGTGCAGTCTGGTAGGGTAATTTCCGCTAGTTGAAAAGACTCTATCTAGGTTCCGGGCTGTGGGGCTGTAGATGTGTTGAGCAATGAAGCAGAGCTCTTGTTCTAGGGCTAGTAGGCCTAGGGCGTTAGCGTTGAAGCTGGGGGAGGAGGTGTAGAGGTGGTAAATGAGCGAGGGACTGATGACATAGACATAAGCGGCTAAAGGCCGCCTAGTAATGTGTTTTGTAATGCCGAAACTAAAATTATCGCCGGCAGATTGTTGTGAAGTACTTGGTGAGCTCCAAAAGTGACTCGAAGTGTTCAGGCTCAGTAAGTAGAGCCTTAAGGTACCTGACGGCCTCTTTCATATTGCTTGGGGGGCTGGATGGTCGGAGCGGCCATCTGCTAAAAGAGCGTCTTGTTTTTCTGCAGAAGAGCATGTGCTTAGGTGTTTTAAGTCGCCCGCAAGAACAATTCAATTCTGCTGTGTCGTGTCTGAATTTGATGTGGTACCATGCAAAGTCCCCATGTCGTGACCGGATGGCCAGCAGATGCGCGAGAACAGGGCGCGGAAGCGTCAGTTCGATTGGTGTCTTTGTGGTTTGGTAGGGTAGTTCCCATTGCCGGTACCAGGCCGACATTTAGGTCCGAGTTTGGTCCCACCAGCGCTGCCTGGCAGCGTTGAGCAAGGACTTAGCGATTGAACGCACCCTAGATGCTGTCGGTTCCGCGGCCATGCCGTAAGGCTGGCTGGGTGCTTTTGCTTCGGCATCGGCAAGGCGGTCTGCTGCCTCATTCCCAATAATCCTGGTGTGGCCTGGCGACCAGCGTACTTGTATGTTGAAGACTGCCATTGCTGCCTGGCACTCAAGGAATGCCCATTGCGACGATGTGGGGGCGTTGCCCCGTATACCCCAGATAACTGACGTTGAGTCAATACACATCCATAGCCTGCGGTGGCTATGGGGGGCTAGTCTGATAGCGTGCTGGAGACCTCTCCAAGCACCCACTGCTTCGGCATCGAATACATGGGATTGGGGATTAAGCGATCCCCTCCCTATGGCAATCTGAGTCTGGGCCTAGTATATCGCGTAGCCGTAGGTGACAAAGCGTTCGCCGTCAGTGCGCTGTTCTGATCCATCAGAGAAGATGGTGACGTCCTGGTTGGTAAGGGTGTCCCACCACTTCGTAAATAATTTGGCGGCCTCAGCCTTGGCTATACCGTTTGTTGGGTCAGTGCGGCACCCTAGAGAGTAGTGCGGCGCTATGAGGGTGTGTCTGGGAATGGTAGGAAGAATCAACCCAAGTCGCTGGACTTTGGAGTGTAGCTTCTGCAAACCTCCAGCTCCCCTGCCCTTCGGTATCACCGAGATCTTGATCCTGGCTGTAAGTAGGTGGTTCTTATCGACTACTTGCAGATGCAGAGCGAATCTCAGCTTTGCTTCTTCTAGCATAATGAGTGCTGATGGTAAGCCGGCGTCTCGAAAGAGTGCCCATCCTGGATAGGTTTTCCAGGCAGGGAGGATAGCGCGAGCCGCGATGGTGAGTGTCTGGTTGAGGGCTTTGAGGTGCCAGCTAATCCTAGTGCTAACTACGGGCGGTTGGTCCGATCGGTTGGTCAGAGGGTTCTTGGTGCGGCCTTCAAACCATGCTTCTGCTCCGTAGAGGAGACATAGCATTATGCAGGTAGTGACTGCTTTGCGGAGGGCTGAGGCTGGGGGGCCATTAACTGTGTTGGCAAGACTACGGATGTGATGGGCAACTTTGCGGGCTGTCGCTGCTCTCGTTTCAACGTGTCTTTTGAAGTTAAGCTTTCGATCAAACTAGACCCCCAGCCATCGGCAGGCGGGTTGGACTCCGTCGTCCTGATCTGTAATTGGTGTAATGGTGAGGGAGTCGTCCACAACACAGGGCGGGGAATAGTTATCCCATTGCCTAGTGAGGTGCATTATTTCCAACTTTTCTGGTGCGAAGGCAACCTTGTTTGCTGCACCCCACTCGTTGATAGCTCTGACATCTTCTGCCAGCAGGCGAACGTTTTCATCCAGAGAGTTCGAGGCCCGGTATATGCAGACGTCGTCAGCATACCCGAAGCGGCGGGTTGTGTCCTGGTTTAGAAGCTCTGCTAGGTATAGTGTGTAGAGGACTGGGGACAGTGGTGATCCTTGGGGTGTTCCGCAGGCCACGGTGTAGCACTGGGTGGTTGCCTTGCCTAATCTAACCCTGACTTTGCGATCTGTGAGGAAACTGTTGACAAATTTGAGCACTAGGTCTGGCCAGCCCTGCTTTGCCATGCGGACGAGTAGCCGGTTCTTAAGAAGTGCGTCAAAGGCTCCTTGAACGTCCATAGTAACCATAGTCACCTTCTTGCCCAATGCCCAAGCTCTTTGTGTATCGTGTGTGAAGGAGGCCAGCAGGTCTATTGCAGAGCGTTTCGGGAGCGCGCCTACATGCTGGGGGCTGAGTATCTCGTGAGTCATTGCGGTCCAGGCCAGCCGTCTTGCTACAACCCGTTCAAGTCCTTTGCCTAGGCAGGATAGGAGGGCTATTAGACGCATGGATCTTGGGGAGGTGCGGTCCTTCTTGCCGACCTTTAGTATCATGGCGACTTCGGCCGTTTTCCAGGCTGTGGGGAAGTAGCAGAGCTCAAGGCACTTCTGAAAGATAGAGCGGATGTAGGTCCTAACCTAAGCCCAGCAGGTCTTGAGAAGCCGGACGGTGATTCGATCGGTGCCTGGCGAGGTGCTGGACACCCCAATAGTGCTTCTCTCGACTTCTTCCATAGGGATGTGGGTGTCCCATGGCAGTGTACCCGCCGGTGTTTCGGTAGGCCATACTGGCTCCGGCAGGTCGTCCTCAGCGCTGAACCGGTCCAGGATTTCCACCCGCAGGGCTTCGGCTTTTTCTAGTGGGTCTGAGATGGTTTGGTTGTTCACGATAAGTGGGATGTCCTGCTGTCCTAGGGTAAGTTTATGCCAACCTAGCAGGCTATATAACTCCTCATCTGTAGTGATATTGTTAATCCGGTTCGCCCAGTACTCCTTCTTCGCTTTCCGCACGACGGCAAGGAACTCCCTGGTTTCGATTGGGACCGTCCCTGGTTCTGCTAAGTTCCTGGCAGCCCGGTGCCAGCTGTGGGCTTCTACGCAATCTTCTGTCCACTATGGTGCTGAGTGACCTTTTGCCCTGTCTGGTGTGCCAGCGCCCTTGAGCGCGGCCCATAGGGTTCTTTCTAAGCTAGCAATAGATGACTCAATGTCTGCTTTCGTGTTGATAGGGCTGATTGGGTGTGCTTGGAGGTGAAGTTCAACTAGAGCGTTAAACTGGTGCAGGCGTCTTGTTGGCACCCTGTAGTGGAATTGGTCTAGAGGTTGGCGCCCTCTAGCGGGGATTGTGGTGAGTAAGGTAAAGTGGTTAGAGCCACAGTGTAGGTCCTCTGCTACTTCAGTTGTGGCAAAGGGGATATTCGAGAAGGTAAGGTCTATGCATACTTGTCAACGAGCGAGCCGGCTCGCTCAGCTCGCTCGGCTTGGACGTTTTGACCAAGCCGAATGAGCTGAGCGCGCAATGCGCGCTTGCAAGCCGAGCGAGCTTAGGGATAGGCGCTCGCTCAGTCAGCTTGCTTAGCTTGGTTAGATGGGGCGGTTGGAAACTTGGGGCTGAAGGACTTGGTGGAGGGGCAATCTCACGATGATTTTTAGGTGTAGTGCGTAAGTTCAAAACCTAGTTATAACATAAAATACACTCTTTTTTGCTATATTTCTAGCAAATAAGCTACTAAATTTCCGGCTAACCGCCTGGCAACAATATTCTCCTTTTGCGACACTTCACTTACTACTTATCACCCACCACACTCATCTATACTCCATCAACGCGTCTCTATTTGCAGCTACTATCTACCTCGCCGTTGCTATAATGCCAGCAAAAAGAACACGCGTTAATGCTCCAGAAATCGCGGCAACTTTATCAACAACTTTATTGAGCCTGCAGGGCTTACGGAGAACGAGGAAGATGAATATGAGGCTTGGAAACGCAGCGAACCGATCGCTGGCGAGGGCGTCGACCCTATAAATACTGGGTAGACTCGCGATCGCCACCCTAGCTTAGCAATTTGCTATCGACATGCTATCATCCCAGGCTCAGCTGTGAGTGTGATCGCTATCAGCGAGCTGGTGAACCTCTCGAGCTCGTCGGCGCAGCATTTCTCCGCAACTTCTAGCAGCAATACAGTGCGATCGACGATGGATAAGAGCTGGATTTGGCAGTGGTGAGGTGCCTGTAAAGGGGGTTATCAGCGATGAGGAGATGGACGCGAAATACGGTGTACATAAGTGGGATATTAGCTGAGAAACTCAACACCAAGGTTTCTATATAACTTTCCTAATCGGGACTGAGCCCATCAAGCCGAGCGAGCTGACAGCCCTGTTTCAGCCAATCCGAGCGAGCCGAGCGAGCTGCTGGCCTCCGCTCAATTGGCTGAGCAAGCCAATTGGCTGAGCTCGCTCAGCTTGCTCATTGACATCTGTGGCAATTGGTCTCATTGATCTGGGTGAGGACTTATCCTTCTTCCCGACTTTGGGTATCATGGCCACTTCTACCGTCTTCCAGGCGGCTGGGTAGTGGCCTTGTTCCATGCACGCCCGGTAGATGCCTAGCACTAGGTGTCTAATGTGTTCCCAGCATGCCTTTAGGAGTCGGACGGT